GCAAGGCTCCCTTATCTTTTAATGTGAGTGGACTGTAGTTGTGGAATGAGAACCTACTGCTTATTCCGCTGCACCACGCACTGTTCAAATACTGCTGAAAAGCCAGAACCATTACAGCCGTCCTGTATCCTGGACGTGCCCCCACTACTGCCTTGTCCCTTAGGTTTCTATGCTTCACGAGGAAGTGACAACACAACCCTGCACGCTTCCATAGCACCTCTTCCTCTGGCTTCCCAGCCAGACTGCTCCCAAAGACACCACAAGCAACTGTGGAGGGCTGCTCCTCACTCCCTGTCTAGCTCACAGTATTATTCAATATCTCTTAACCATGTTCACAGAAGCACAGGATAAAGAACAGCTAAGCAAGCAGCAAGCTGGGGAGAGGTGATGCTTCACGGTATTTCCTTGCAGGGAATGACTTATATGAGCACTGGATCCATCATGGATGTCATGCGCCTGAAATGCCACTGTCCTCTGAGCTTGGGTTCCTTGGAAGCACTGATCAACACCTTGTTCTGCGACAGTTAGCACAGAAACAATGACACCTAATGTCTCTCTGTTGTTGTTTCCTAAAGGAAAGGCAGTCAAGCTTCTGCCCTGAGGCTTATTGCTGCTGATGGCTTGAAATTGCTGCTGTGAGAGTCCCACACTGCAACGACTCACCTCGACCAGAGACAAAACTGTCTGTGGCTGGATTTTGCAGCTGAACCTTCCCTTCAGCAAAGCAGCAAGGAAAACAGGGTAGCAGAAATACTGCACATCTTGCCCACATTCTGTCATCTTAGTAGAGCCTCCCACAGCTTATCCTCAACCTGGAGCATCACTCACTTTCTGCTGCCCAGAGGGAGGCAGAGGATGCTGGAAAGAGCAGAAGGAAACTGCCAGGTTTATGAGACAAGGGGAAATACCACATATATCTGTAGTATCATGCAATTGGAGAGCATCGTAACAAACTAAAATGAGGGCGGTCATGAAGGATAAAAAGGTAATCTTATTTCTTGCAGCACCTGAGTTTGAGGTCCGGTTGTCTGAGCTCCTGCTCTCACCTTCCTCACACAGGCTCTGTCCTGCCTCCTTGATCCAATTGACTGTTCTCACCTCCCCTAACCCTGCTTCTCTCCCTGAACACTGGCAGAGGTCCCCAACCTTTCCCTCACCACCCTTGTGTTGGGAAGAACATGACAGAGCACAAGACATCACCCCCAGCTGCCTTAGCTGATCTCTCACTTCATTTCCCTCAAAGACCGAGAAATTGCCCCAAATTTGGGAACAATAACAGCACACTCCAGGCACCACGGCAAGATTCAGACCCCTTTTAGCCAAAACCAGAGCGGGCGGGTACGACTGCACGGCTGCAGGAGTGCTGGTCTGCTTTGTTTCAGGCACAGCAGAACACCCGTCTCCATGTCCCGCTCAGACATGGCTCCACAAGTTTTACTGCAACTTCCATTTATTTTTGAATCCACCCCGAGGTAAAAAACTCATCAGGGAATGGAAAATTTCAGCTCAAACGAATTTCCAATGTGGCAAAATTACAAGCTAATGGGAACAGGATCTGGACTAGGGGGTGCAGGACTAGCCTAACTGAACCCAGCACCAGCAGCTCCACCTCCAAAACATATTTTGACCTGCTATGTAGTTAGACACAGTTCCACAAACAGGAATTATATAAACCACTCTGCATACATTAGTTTCAAAAGCCCCAGCCATTCACTGGGTACGTCTTCCCATGCACATGGATCCAATTACGGCACCCAAACTCTCTGGGACAACCAGAAAAGAAAGAAACGGGTGAGCCAAGATGACTGCGAGCGCACTCCGGCATTGCTGCGCTCGGACAAGCATCACAAACCCACTTAATTCTGAACAGATTGCTCTAAATGTCTCCACTGCAGGCTGTTGCCCTAAAATTCCTTTATTCCCTCAAGTCTGCACCCTTATCCCACCTGTGTTTTTCTATAGAGTTACCTGGTGCAAAAAGGTCACATTCTAAAGAGCATGCTTGGAGCAAAAAGGAACGCCGTCATACAAACATGTCATTACTATACGTTAAAACAACACAGAGGAACCGGTCAAGCTGAGTAATGCAGGGAGGCTGAACTGCTTTTCTCTTCCTGGAAAACTCATAAACCTGCCTATAAAGGCCATGAACCAGCGTTTTCAAAGATTCCACCTCCTTGTATGGCTTGGATTCTTTTTTTCCATGCCAGATGCACGTTTAACAGGCGAACACAAACAGTGCAGCTTCTTAATGTACTCTTTTAACACCACGACAGTTTGTAAGCTATTTCCCCCAACATATGACTAGTTGTGTTTTTACTGAGCCCATACGAAGAACAACCCATTTGGCAGGATGAGTAGTGATTCCAATATGTAGCCCGAGGGTATTTAACCTCCAGACCTGCCGCCATCCCGCTGCAGGGAATAAAGACCATTCCTAGAAAACTCCCCAGGGATTTGTGTTGTGAATAGTAAAAGGCATGGTACGGTATGTACAACTCCATAAAAATCACAGAAAGCCACCTGCAGACCAGGAAACATTGAGCTGTTCATCAGGTAAATAGAGCTCTGTATCACAGTCACCTTTTAAAGAGGAAAGCTGCACAAGTGCTTCAGCAAGTTTGATAGCAAAGACTCCTCAATCTTGTTGAAGTAGTTCCCTCATTTCTCACCAACTTTCACTGATTATTCCATATACCTTTAAGGTACACCCACAAGAAATGATGTTTTTTTTCCAAAGTGTGCTTTCCTAGCAGCTGGAATGGCCCCTATCAGTGCTTTACCATGCTGTAATCTTACGCTTCAAATAGTTAAAGAGGGCCAGCAGGAAATCCAGAGAGGGGCTTGGAACAAGGGCCTGTAGGGACAGGCCAAGGGGAATGGCTTCAACCTGCCCGAGGGGAGACTGAGCTGAGCTCTTAGGCAGAAGCTCTTCCCTGTGAGGGTGCTGATGCGCTGGCACAGGGTGCCCAGAGAAGCTGTGGCTGCCCCATCCCTGTCAGTGCTCAAGGCCAGGTTGGACACAGGGGCTTGGAGCAAGCTGCTCCAGTGGAAGGGGTCCCTGCCTGTGGCAGGGGGTTGGAACTGGATTAACCTTAAGGTCCCTTCCAAACCTTTCTGTGATTCTATGATAATTCAAAATTAGGAACCTATAGTAGTAAATAACCATCAGAGATGCCACCATAGTACACTGCTGTCCTACAAGTCAAGTATTTTGGCAAATCCTAAGGTTTTTGCATTTTTCAAGGCAATTTTTATAATGTTGCTTATCCTCAGTCCTAATCTGCTGCTTATAAATATCACGCAACAGCATCTTACAACAGTAAATCCCAACATTTCAATCAAATTACAGAACAAGTGGCAAATGACAAAGTATACTTTAAAAAGTTCTGTTTTGTACACATTTGCACATTAGAAAAAGAATACCTTTTGACCAAGAAAGAAAAAAAAAGCTCGTATATCAGAGGAAAATAATCCCAACTTCAATCACATCTAAAGCTCCCTTAGCAGGTTTGTTGTACAAGCCTTTGAATTTCTTGTACACTCAGCAAGTAGATCTGATAGTAAACATCAAACCAGGCAGGCAGCTTTTGAAAACCCAGGCTCAGCTGATACAACTCTTTTAAGTCAAGTTCAAAGTAAAATTTGAAGATGAGATAGCAAACTACACCTGAGTGTTTGTGACATTCAATAGGAGAAATTGGCAGCTCCACGCTGCAGCGGACCCTGGGTACTCCCTCCTTTCATCTTCTCTGCCTTGCCTCACCCTTCCCAAAATAACAGAGCAAAATTGAAAGGGCTAAGTAACTCGTGACACGTTTAAAGCAACAGTAATGGAGAGTAAGCAATATATAACACACAAAATCAAGGCAAAAAACACCCGGTCCTGCTGATCAGTGTTTTATACTCATTGGAGACTCCACAAAGCCCCACGCCTTCTGCTCTGATGGACATGGTGCATCTCCCTTGTGAGCTCTGCACTTTCATCCCTACACAGAACCTCTTTCACCTCACTGGCATTCAATACTGCAAATTGCTACCCTGCAGGCCACTATCCATCCCCATCAGAGCAGATGAACACCAGAACTCTTTAAAAAGAGACATAACTTTAGATATTCAGTCTAAAATATCTCTGTTCTGCCTTTGCTGCCGATGGTAAAACTTGCACGAGTGTTGGTCTATATAGGAGAATTATCAGTTCATATCAAAAAGTCAAAAGCTTGTTTGCCATCCCCTGATGTTGGGTAACTTACATTATGCGAACTGCAATAGGAAACATTACCTAAAACCTTTTCCTGCTGGAAAACTGACGTAAAAGGTAAAAGTCTCCTGTGCTGTGGCAGGGTAACATCCTATTAATAAAGAATGATTCACAGCAGATAGATTTACAGCACATCTGCCCTATCAGCACACACCAACGGAAGAAAAGCTGTTCCAGTGATATCCCCAAATCCATAAGAAAGACTCTTCTTTTAAATTCTCCATCATTTCTCATAGGATGACAGTTGATATTATAGGATTATCTACTTTCACAGCCCCTGAGGGATGCTCGTCTCGGATACCGCAACTGGAATGGGAAGGAAGATTTACAGAACCAGTGGCTGCATCCCAGCTCTTTCTGTGGCCAGAGGAGATGTCCAGAAAGCAGTACATCTAACTGAGCACAACCCTTTCCTAAAGGCAGTATAACTTCGAGCTACGCTTCAAACTGGGACTGACTAGATGTTTTCATTACAAATCAGGACAAAAGGAGAAGATGTGGTAGCTAAACAAAAACCCTGACCACAGGACTGCAGATGATTTTCAACTGAGTAACCAGAACATCCTTTCCCAATGTTTCAACGACAGCATGACTGTATTTTGAGCCAGCAGAGAGGATGGGGGATCTAGTTCTTGATCTGCATTTTTTATGTCTAAGCGCTGTGGGAACCAAGGCAAAATTAGATGTGCTACCTTAACTCTGTGTCAGCTTATACAGAACAACTGGAGCACGCTCTTACCTTCACAGATTCTGTCCAGTCGCTGCCGCTTGACTTTGTGTTTATCCACCAGTGCCATTCTTGAGGGTGTTTTGCAACGTCCTGATTCAAAAAGCAAAGCAGTCCCCCAGGAACTCAGGAATATTCACAGGAATCGGCGTGCATACCGCCACTGTCGATCCTGCAGAGGAACAAAAGGGTTCATGAGGATTACCAGCATGCCAGGTGAAACCTCCCCATCTCCAACCCTGGCATCCCATCAGTCCCACATCTTATACTGCAAATCAAGCTTGCAGCCCCTTTATCTTCCTTGCAGTCAGAAAGCACGGCACTGTACACAAGAGCTGCTGAAGCGTGGTATGGCCTTCCTGGTTTTATTTCTGTCTTAAAACTCTATTCCTAGCAGATAAAATCCATTCAGCTATTTTGTAGGCTCACAGACACTGCAAGATTATTAGAAAGTACACAAAAAAGGGAAAGCAGCTTTTGCTGTTCCAGTACTTTCACACATATACACACAAACCACTTTTATGCCTTATTTAAGCCTTGCTCTGTAAAGATGATCAATGGAACTTGAATTTACAATGAGACCTTGGTACATATTCCAGAGGTCACCATAGCCTGTCCTTACCTTGATACATGGAGGGTTAACATTAAACTTTGGATGCCAGACCTGCCTTTCTAGTGTACACACTTTTAAATGCCAGTGAAATAGAGCGATCCATAAAGCAGTATGTGTGGCTGATTTACAACAAATGCCCTACAAAGGGAAAAGAGCTGCAGGCTTCTCTGCATGTTGGTGACACGGAGGAAGACCCTAAATGGATCCTCTCAGGTCTTTTATTCCTACAGATAGCCAAAGGTTTGTTTAATCCCTGAATGATTGACCTGAGCTCAAGCTGCAGACCCTGAATGTGCCATGGTGGCACTTTTACCCAACAGCTAGGACTCTTTCAAAGCAAGTTCCACAACAGCATTCATGAATCAAGACATGCAAGAGAAGACCTCATGCTGACAGTGGAATTCAAACCATTCAATACTACATGCGTTAGTTTTTTTACCGAGTTGCATTACCAGCCATTCAATATCCACTTTCATATTTTAAAGGTGAAGACAGGTGACCCTGATGAGAGCTGCAAACCTTCCAGGGTTGCCTCCTGCTTAAGAGACACATGCCCTCCCGCAGCCATCCACCACCTTTTAAGCCCACTTAAAGGCAATAAAAAAGAGCAGAATTAGTGGAAAGCTGTGATTTCTGGAGACAAAGCAAAATGCCACCATGGTTTTGGTGGGAAAAGGGAAAAATAAGACAGGCACAAGCACAAGCACAGCAAGAAACCCTCCCTTGTGGCCACTTGTACTGCGCTGTACAATAGATTCTGCCTACATAGGCTGAGTGTGCAATACACTCAACCACTCTGCCTACAAAGTGCTAGAAAGGGTTAAAAAACCAAATAGGTTCTGGAAAGCCAGCAATAACCACAAACTTGGTACCACTTGTTCAAACTGACCCCCAACCATCTCCTCTGCAGCAGGTAAATTTTCACACTGCGTTGTTTGCAAGCAAAGGTTCACATAAAATACAGAAAACACAAGAAGAAGATGCTGAAAACCAGGAAAATCCAGGTTGATGCCCAAAAGCTGACCCTGGGCAATGACTGTAACCTCAGCTTTTGCTTATGTAGAGCTGCAATAGCAATGCTTAACCCATCCTCTGGAAACACTTCAGCTTCTTCAGATTCACACAGTCCAGTCAGGCATTTCTACCTTGTGTTTTATTCCTCTGCAACAGCGCCCAGCTCTCCTAAAAATCCCATCAGCAAAAGCAATAACTTCCCAGCAAACACAGTTAACAAACGCGACAGCCCAGGCTGAGCACGCCAGGGGTAAAGGCTCTAACAAAGCCGCCGCATACCGAGATGACAATTTCATGGGTATTATTGTTATTATTATAAATGGTTATCAATTATGCATCACATTGATAGTTAATTTCGAAAAGGAAAAGGGTTGTGTTGGTACAACTGGGTTCTGACTAAAGGAAGATGGGTGATTTCCTGGTAGTTAATGGCCAATTTCCCAGCAGCGCGACTGCAGCGTAATCTCTGGGATTTATAGCAATAATTAATTGATTTCTTTTTAAGCATAGGGATGCTAAAGAGCACGATTCCCACTCACATTAATAATTAATGCAACATTCTAAAAGAAGCTGAAAACTTCAATTCCAGAGGCAGGAGCTTATTACAGTCAAAATATTTCTTACGACAAGGATCAAACTGTTAGTGTAACTAAAGCTAGAGCAGGGAATAGCATTTCCACAATGAATATTTAAAAGTATACACATGAATTTTTACCTCTATTTCAGAGAGAAATACCAGGTTATAAAAAAGTCATGGCAGGGGAGAAGAAGTTAGCATTTTGTACTGAAAATGCTCAAATGGTTCATTAGGTTGGGGTTGCAACTCTTTTTCCCATTTTCCCCCAAACAAAAAATCAATACCCAAACTGATTTGATTTTGACAGAGTGCATCTTCTGATGGACAAATGTTTCCATTATGTTCTTTTCCCTCTTGTCATCTCAATTCCCTGCATTATTCTCTGGAGGAAAACTTTATACGAAAGAAACTAATCAGAGAAATTATTGCTCATATTAGCAGAATCTTGCATAGCTTAACCTAATGCCTGTAACTGAACTCCTTCCTAATGATGTTAACTATTCCATCTTGGCCTGACAGGTACCCATGATGGTATCAACCAGCAGTAAAAGCCCAGTTTGGAAGACTTATTAAATACGTGGCAGGAGCTTCCAAGCAGGATTTGGCAAGGATGGATAAAATGAAGAAAAGCAGATATGAGTGGCACAGGAACAGGCAGATATTCCCTAGCCTTTATGAAGCTGCAATTAAGAAACCAGTTCTTCCATTCATGGGATGGAGGATGCAATTAGATGCACATCCAAATTCAATCCATCCTCAATGGTTTCTACATCCAACCCCATCTCAAAGGCCAAATGTCCCCTTGCAATAAAATAAATACAATCAGGCTCAGCAGAACAAAACTCATGGTCAGCAATTAAAAGAAGAGGAAAGCTCATTGTGTAAGGAAATTTGAGGGAGGCAGACGCATGTACAAAAACTACTTCATCTTCAGCAAGATTAGGAAACAAGTGAAGTGATTTACATACAGTAATTGCATGGCCGTGTTAGCCTCCAACAGTGTCTTTCAAAATGTAAATTTCCTTGAAAACCCTTGGACATGATGATAGCCCAGCAGTTATTTATTTATTTAAAAGAAGGAATGTACTTAAATATGATGTTTTAGGGAAAAAAATGCCCAATTCTGACATAACGCATTTAAAAAGCTTAATACTGCTCGTTAAATACCACAATCTATGAGCCAGAAAACGAGAGCAGAGAAAGCTGCATTAGGGCTTATTTTTCCAGCTTTCAATGGAAATTGTGTAGAAAGAAGAGGTGATTTTCCAAAATAGGAGGCACTGTTAGCTAAAAGTAAGACAAAGGGGACTTGGCAAAGAATGTGTTGTTTGCTGAGCTCTCTCTCAATTAGCACTGTTCTATCATCTTTTCACTAAGTAGGTAGCACAGGAGCACAAACATACAATGGTTTGTGTTGGAAGGGACCCTAAAGCTAATCCAGTTCCAGCCCCTGCCACGGGCAGGGACCCCTTCCACTGGAGCAGCTTGCTCCAAGCCCCTGTGTCCAACCTGGCCTTGAGCACTGCCAGGGATGGGGCAGCCACAGCTTCTCTGGGCACCCTGTGCCAGCGCCTCAGCACCCTCACAGGGAAGAGCTTCTGCCTAAGAGCTCATCTCAGTCTCCCCTCTGGCAGGTTCAAGGCATTCCCATTCTTGTCCTGTCCCTACAGGCCCTTGTCCAAAGCCCCTCTTCAGGTTTCCTGTAGCTCTTTTAGGCATAGGCAACATCTATTTTTGAGCATCCATCACATATGTTGCCAACAAATCACAGTGGCACCCAGTAGGTGATTCAGAGCCCCTATTCCCCTTGCTCCGGACAAAATCGCGTCTCACACATTCCCTCCCTGTGCACAGTCCCAGGAAAGTGGAATGCTGTTCCTTAAAACTCATTCTGTGACAAGCAGATGCTGATGCAGGTACACAGCCCCACTGCAGCACCACAGGCTTTGGTAAAGCAGCATAAAACCTCACCTGAGAGTCCTGCCCAAAACACAGCTCAACAGCTAGGACTTAATAAAACCACAACTGCTGCCTTCCTAGGTATGAATGAACAAGTGGCATGAAGACACCACTTCAGCCAGTGCACACATGGTCACAGGTTAAGTGGGACTCCTCTCTAACTTCAAAACCCAGCATCTTTCTGAACAGTCCACACACTCCAAGGTCCATGATGGAGTCACAAACCTGTTGTTCAGGATTTCCAACTACATTTTCCACTGCCTATGAAATATGTCATCTACAACATGGAGAATCCCTACTACAGAAAAATCTGGGATCCACACACTGCAAAAGCTCCCATTTCCAAAGAGCAAAGGAGAATCTGTCCTTCCTCACATCTAAACTGGGTTTCCACATGTATAACTCCTTAAGCAAAGGAAAATCCAGGCTGAATGTTTTGATGATGTTATCAGATATTTCCTGGGCTCTCAGGAATGGAGAGATTCCTGGTGAAGGTTTTGCACTCATGGTTACTGCAGGACACCAGCAGACCAGGATGCCCAAGTAATTGTGAAGGCAGCAGCCACTGATGCCAAGGGCTGCTCTCCTCCATCCTCCTTTGCATTAAGGTCCACTTTTCCAAAGCTCAGCATGCTTGAACTGAGATTTCAATGCAAGAACAGTCCCCAGAGCTGTTTCAGCCTTGCAATACTATCACCGGGTATTAATTGTTCTGGCCATTTCCACTGCTGATCGCTTCAGACATTGGCAGCTGGTGGGGAGGACAGGAGGGGCTGGGAAGCAGAGTTCCGTGTTAGAAAGGCAATGCAGGGTAAAAGAATGAAGGAGACACATGGAGATAATGACAGGGGAGGGAAGCAGACAAAGGAGATGGTACAATGCAGGAGGAACACAGTGAGCACTCTGTCATCCTTCCTCCCTGTGCCAACAGCACATCTACAAGTGCAAAGCCACTTCTCAGCCCTCATCACCTTCTCCTTTCTCTAAAGCACTGGAACTACTGCAGGGG